CCTAAACACTGAACCGTATACCTCCACAAGTGAGGCTGTCAAAGTTACGGCCCCACTTGGGACTCCAACATGAGAGGGCCTCAAGATTTTCAGCAAGAATTCCTAAGTGCAACACGTTCATACTCCCCCAGATTGTAGTGGCGGTGGTGTTGTCTGTCACCGTTGCCATCATGGCAATACAAGTCGCCGCTGCAGTCGTCAAACAGAAGGAGAAAACGTTTGGGAAGCAGAGCAGCCAGACAAGGCATGCTAATTCTGACAATCATGCGTCTCGCAGTAGCCAGTGCCAATGATACGCAAGCCTTGTTGTATCCTACGGCAAGCAGAATGCTTTCAGGTCTGTCATTTTCTAGCCGTTGGTGTGAAACACCCCAAACCCAAATGCCTGCCAAGGCGCTGTGGAGTACTGCATGACGAGCCTTTCGATGAGGCCCTGAAACTCATCAGACACGTTGACCTGCAAGTGTCCCTCGAGACTAGGGCTTCAGGTTTTCTAGTTCTGCCACCTGCGAAGGGTTTAGAGTACAGACTTTAAGACACAGGGTTTAGTTTAGAGCGTACCCTCAAAGTCTTGATGGCGAAGGGACGTATCAGTCTCAACCCCCAAACCCACACCTCAAGGCCTGAAGCCTTCAGGCCCGAAACCCTTACCTCGAAAGTCCAACCCACTAGGCATTAAATTTGCTGATGATTTGTTGGGAATGAGAGAATGGATCCGCACTGCAGTCCATACCATACAACTTCCAAATACCCTCATAACCACCACCCTAAACCCTAAACCCTGCACCCTAAACCCCAGTAAGTAACCTTCCAGCCAGAAGCCATGCCAAGTGGCGCTTTTCCTCTCCCTCCTTTCGCTGGGAGGAGGTGGTGCGAGTGGAATCCTGCGGAGGATCTTTGGCACTTTGGGGTATCATCTTTTCAGCTTCATAGCAATTTCAGGGCACGTGCTTTTTGCTTTGCGATTTATTGGGGAATAATTTGCTTCATGCCTATTTTGTAATCATATCATATATGCGTCGGGGGTTCAAGGTGTTACGTTTGGGTGAGATTTCTCGGCAACTGGGCGCCTCTTCCCTGATGGAAGGCTGTTCTAGAACATGCAATCAGATTGATGGTTCAGGCGGGGTGTTGGAAACCCGAAACGAGGAGCCACTTGTGACACACCATTTGAGCCCTTAAGAGCTGACGGTAGCGTGGAAGCCTGAATTCTGAGCATTGTCTCTCTATGGCCCCTGTGCGATATAGCATCATTGATACATCCCGAAGCCGCGCTCTAATTCTTCAGGCCTCTGGTTGTTCAAGCGTCCCTGCCATGGGGTGTATGGGACGCGCTCCCATTCGATTCCTGCCTATTCGAGTACCTCCCTCAAGCAAGCCTATGTTTCCTGAAATCGATCTTTTTTAGTCCTAAGAAAACCATTTGCCCGCCAAAGCGCTTGCACCGATGTTCCACCATTCATCCCCTGCGAGGAGTCTGGTTCTGCCCTGGAAAACTGTAAGCCTCTGACCTGGCGCCAAGCCTTCAAATCCCAAGATCGCGCAGCCTTGAGTGAGTGGTACAATACTTGGGTTGACTTACTTGTTCCGGCCTGACTCTGGAGAGGGGGCCTACGCCTCATAATCCCCAATATGCCATAAGACCTAATAATCGTCAGGCCCCGAAATAATGGGTAGGGCCCATAGTAGCACGTGACGAACCAGGGACTCCGCAACAAAATCATCTCCACTTCCTCAAAGCACTCTTCCAAGGACTCTACTGATAGACTCTGAAAATGCACGCCTACCAACCCATCCACGAGACCATGGAAAGGCTAAAGTCAGCTTACATCCAGGAATCTACATCTAATGGTGGGCTGCAGGGCATTGCGTTTCTCACATTCTGGTAGGTATTTCCAAAATGCAGTGGCGTTTTTATGCGGGCATTATATACGGACCACTTTCGAAATCCTCCGCATCTCCAAATCCGTTTACTCCAAACCTCAAACCCGAAACACCCAAGAGCCGAAATCCTAAAGCCCGCCCAAAGAATCCCGAGCCCTAAACCTTGCCGAAACAAGAACCCCAAAACATTACACCCTACCTAGAGAACCCTGAACACTAAACCCTAACTGGTAGCTTCCATTTCATTCTCCATGTCTATTGGATTTTCCAGTGTTGGGAAGTATTTCCAAGTTTCGCAGACAGGCCTCGGTGAACTAACGACGTCAACAGATTCATCCGGATGGCGCGGCTGTGCAGTCAATATAGGATTCCTAAGCCGCGTGCAGCTTGGGGCTTAGGATAACCCTAAACCCTCAACCCTGAACCCTAAACCCCAAACCCTAAACCCCAAACCCCAAACCCTAAACCCTGAACCCTAAACCCTGAACCCTAAACCCAAACCCTGAACCTGAAACCCTAAATCCCAAACCCTGAACCCTACTATAATGGGGCTACAGAGGGGTAACGGAAAAGAACATGGAACTACTATTTAGGATTTAGGGTAAAGTCTCCACATTGCCGACGGCTTTTGTGGCTCTCACACAACTGACACTGTATTGTGTTGCCTGGCTATTGATCAATACCTACTTCGTTTGGGTTGCATTGCTTTGGGGTTCGGGGTTCGAAGCCCGGGTAGGCTTGAGGGTGCATTATATGAGATCCAGTAACTTAAGCCCTCAACTCCCTAAGCACTGTTGCGGGGTCAACTTTCGGGGAGGACTTGACTTCACGTGAAATTTCAAGGACGGCCTGTACAGTCTTCTGGTACAATCTATATCTCACGCCCTTGGAGTATGCCCTTTGCACACTTCTTGCCTTACAACCCTGGTCAACACTTTATACATGCACCAAGGCGGAGCTTTTTCCAAACCCCATCCCCCCTAAACCCCAAACATTCATCAGCACAGTGTCAGACCGAGCACTATACCGGAAGCCGCCTGTGTCAATTTTAGCGTTTGGGGTTCGGGGTTCACGACCAAGAGCATTTGAAATCATGGGTGTTCTGAGGAGGGACTTGGCATAAGACTCAGGATATTCATATGGGAACCTTCATAGGGCAAAAACAGATGCAGCAACAAATTGGAGCAGTGTTCTTTGTGTTAAGTTCCGCCTCAGGTGTCTGCAGGGTGATTGATGATCTTGCAAGCTGCGGACTGTAGGATTGCAGGTCTCGGAAAGATGGTATGCAGCGAGACCAGGGAGGTTCAGGCTACAGGGGTTTGGGAGAATGGCTCATCTAGAAACTTCTTACTAGGGATGAGTAGGGATTACATAGTGATTGCAACGGCAACTCACCAGGAGCATGCACGTGGGCCTTGTCAAAAACATATACCCCTGTCATCTTTTGTTATGTTTTGCTGCTTTGATGCCGTCTTATTTCGAAGTTCGTGCAGAAATGAAAATCTGAACCCTGAACTCGAAGCTCTGAATGGTGCGCATCAACTTGAACCTGCAACCCTCTGAATGCTGTCCCAAATTACATGCATTTAATTTGGACAGCTGCACACGGAGTTTGTGGCTGTAGCTTTCAGAATTTCAAGCTTCCAGCTGGAGCCAGCACGTACACATACTTGCACCGGAAAAAGGTATGCCTTTCGATCCTGAACTCTACATTCTTAATCCCATTCAACTTTACACCCCAATCCTCAACCCCCTTCCTTTTTGTCGCCTCGGGTGCATTGTTGAGATCCTCCATATCCCAATGTTTGTGGGCACGGAGGACCAAAAATGGTGGGTATTGGTTGTGCTCCTATCTGCTGCTAGGATTCTTGCGCCTGCAGTTGGGCACCAACTTGTTTTTTTTTTCACAGTTCAAATGCTATTCTACAGGGCTCAAGGAGTCATAGCAACATACAAGTCTGCTCACTCTCTATGTTCGTATTTCACAAACCGATAACAACGCTCCCCTCAACTTTTGACTCTCCAAAGGTTAGCTCCAAACAGTACCCTTAGATGATATAGTAACTTGATGATATCAAATTTCTCAAGTTCTGAAACTTGCTTGATATTCTGCTTCTGCAGCTTTGCGTGACAAATCTACACCTCCGGGGGCCCCCGCAGAGCTGGGAGCCCAAGGCAGCGTGTAATGCGAAGGGTGTTGGGCTTGCAGCTTCGGGGTGAATGCTTCGGGCTAAGAATTTAAGGCGGAGGGTTTCAGCCTTTTTAGGATGCCCTTTCCTGCCCGTGGGAGATCGGTTTCAGGGCTCGGGAGACAGGGTCTGAGGTTCGAGGCATGAGCCTCATAACTTAGGGTTTGGAGCTGAGGGTCTGTGGGTTGATGGACTAGTGTAGGATTCAGGGTCCTCTGTTTAGTTCGGTAAAAGGTTCGGCGTCAAGTGAAGCCTTTTTGAGCTGCAGCCAAACTGCCCGTCAAGAGCTGCGCAACCCATTGGACAAAATCTGCAAATGTCCCCCATGTCCCCTCCACACCCGAAACAATTGGGGGTTTCCCCAAATGGAGGTGAATTTTTTGGGGGTCGCAACAATCAGGACTATAGTATGTTGCGGTCTACATTGGGGTCCCCTATTTTCGAAATTACCAATTCTCTCAAAGACTGTGGACTGCCAACATTGCTGGTGCCTGTTCGCGAAGACAACGACTCTGCCTGCTTGTGCTGCAAACTTCAAGTGGCTTCAAACGGAACCTTCTAGATCTCAAGTTAAGACTGTACATTAGGACTGTTAGGGGTGGAGAAAAATCAATACACTTGGCAATAAGTTCAGGAACAAACTTCCCCAACCCTCTGCCCTCAACATCCACAAGCTTTAATTCCAAAAAGCTGGAACTTTCAAGCCTTCACCCTAAGTCCTTGATGCCTAAGCCACCCCGAAATTCTTTAAACCCCCAAGCCCCCAAATCTTAAACCCTAAACCCTAAACTTAGTAGGGTCTGGAGGAATGGATCTCCATAGTAGCTCTATGTAACATAATCCCAAAAGGAAAATGACCTTACATTCTGTTTTCAATTTCTCCCCAACTAGCCACCAGCAGGCATTGCCCTCCACTGAGCGCAGGGCGGGTCGGTCGTCGTTGTACACGATGAGCGCCACGGCTCCCGCGTCCTCCGCATGCGCCGCCTCCCAAGTGGTTGGGAAGTTGAGGCTTAGAGCCGTGATCTTTTGCTAGGTTAAGGAAACCTCCATGGCCATGAGCCCTACGCTGTTTGGGATCCACCCAGATCGTAACCTGGGAATTTCCGGGAATAGCGTCATGCTCCAGGCCAACGAATCTGGCCCAAGATTTCTAACTCAAAGCTAGTCACGAGAGCTATAAGCCCAGCTTCTTCCATTTCATTTTCCATCTTCTGTCTCACTTGATTCCCAATTATTGGGATACAGTCCCCATTAAGTAGATAGAATATGGAGTATATGGGGATCTTACTATAATATATACCCAAAGCCATATTCTATCTACTTAAGGGGGACTATAACAATGCCCCTAAATCCTGAACCTTCCTAATTCATCCTCAAGCCTTTGATGCGCGGAGCCCGAAGTTGTTTTGCCTACTGCTATCGACGGTGCTTCGTTTCCGCTCCCTCTTGGCTGGCTCCATAGAGACACACATATATACTCGCGGTTTAGGGTTAGGGTGTAGGGTTTCAATTGTGAAATCCCCACAACCTGTTCTCTGAACCGCAGCCTTCGTGCTTCTCATGGTTGCTACTTCCCGTACAATTAATACAATTCTGATTAACATCGTTGTTCATACTAGTACCACTTTTGCTAGTGTACAAATTACCACCACCATTATTCCGAGTTACTGAGACCACTTAGCATTATTATTACTTTTACTATTACTTGTACTTTTATTATTGCATTGCTACAGCTGCCGTTACCTCCAGACCTTCCTTCTAACGCCAATCCGTCAAAAAGAACATAGCGCCTTGACTTGAAAGAAGCAGTTTCCTCGCCGCGCCATTAGTACCGCCTGTGAGAAACGGATAGATGGGGATTACATAGGCATTATGGGGGATCCGTATCAGGGATGTCGTAAACAACGGTTCCAGAAACATCTCTTGAACTTCCTTCACAAATTTTCGGCGCATGTTTCTATACATATTCTTTAACAAACTCCCTCATCTCTCAACGCGCCCCTACGATTTGCGCTACAAAACGTTATGTAATTGAGGCCGAATTGTGGCAATCAGGCAGAATCAGGTACATCTCTGGAGTACCAACTAAACGTGTTTCAGACCAGGTTGGCGGATGCAGTCGCAGAGCTTCAGCTTCTGAGACTGCTGTATTAGAATATGTGTAGGCCTAAATAACCAGAATAAGAGGTTTCTAGTTGTGTTGTCAGTTGACTACAAGGAGATTATCAGGGGAACCTTACTAACCATCCAGGCTTCTAGATTACTTGATCAAACCGTGATCCGCTGCTCGCGTCCCTTGAGGCCCAAAACACCTGTTGAGAGAGGGAGGGGCCTCTTCACGGTTTTTCGTTGCATGCTGCACTCACCCAATAACACGCTATCATGTGGGTTATACTGGGGCTATGTAGCTACGTCATCATTGGTATCCAACTGTTCCTGAGTGGGGCAGAACCCAACGTACACGCCAAATTCGAAGTCAGCCAAAAACTGAAAGGTCCACAATATTGGGACCCTCCAGAGGGGTAATTTCTCTGCCTTCCCTCCGGAAACTTTATCCAACCGCAAGTGTCATACCATAGGCATGCCGCTGAATCCGAACCTTCATCATATCCGAGGGCAAACTTTTCCTTTTGAGCTTGCTAGGGCTCCCTCCCCATCGAATCGCTCCGTAAAAGGCGTGCAGGCATCCTCGTTGGTGGCCTCGATATGCTGGCACAGAATGTTGTGTGACATCCATGGTTGTGTTGGTGGGCCCTACAGAAGGCTTCGGGTGTGAGGGCATGAAGCAGTGGCTGAGTTTAGGGTCCCCATTAATCTGAACGCGTTTCACAGAATATTCTATCTCAAGATTCTAAGAAAATACTGATATTTCGGCGTCAGCAAGGAACAAGTAAGATATACAGAAAAGAACCGGGCCTGCGTGCCAGGGAAACAGAGTGTAAGTTCTTTAGTAGCAACCCAGATAGGTCGCAGTAACAACCGGGCATGACAGCGCTCATCCTCGCTTTTCTCACACGATCTCATCTCATCGCCGATTCCGCTGCAACGTCTCCTGGCTGGCACAAAAAGCTATCGAACTGATGCATCAATTCCAGCGAGTCTTCCGCTACTTGTTTTCTTGCCAATATATTGGCCTTAGGATCTCTTCCGCTTTCTGGCTAGTAGGGAATGAAAGAAGGTACTATGGTGTGCTGAGATGGATCCATTCGTCTGCTCTGCATGTCATACTCAAACACGTAAAGCAGTTGAGATTTCGGGATTTTGGTCTAAGGCCTGAGGAAAACAAGATCATGTGTCCTTCCATCCCAAGCCCAAAGCCAATCTGAATCCCAAACTCCCATCAGTCCTAAGCGTTTGACCCCTAAACCGTAATGATTTAGGCCTGGACAGGGAAGCTTGGACCACCAACCCATATCGGAGCTTTTGAAGAGGCTTCTGAAAAACCTCTGGGGATATTTGGCGGTTTCTCACAATGGAGGGCCCAGTAACACGCGTGCAACAGGATTACGGGGTCCCTCTCAACGGATTCTGTACAGATCTTTTGGAGTGTCCAAAACATGGACTGTCCTTATGTCGGGGGATGTAAGGGGGACTCTCAGTTTGGGAGTTGCTTCATGTTTTCTCCGCTCAACAGTACGAGCAAGCGGCGGCTTTCAAGGTGAAGCCAAGTAGGCTGCAGCTTGCTACTTTGGGTTCAGGGTTTAGGTACTTCTTGCACTGGTAATGCTTCCTGCGCAAATTTGCCGACCCAAAGCTTTACGCCTGAAGCCTCCCAATCCTCAGCTTGAGAGAATGAGGCCAGAAACCTTTAACCCTTGAATCCTGAACGCTCGAGCGCAAGGCCCTTCAAGCAGAGTAGGGTATCGTATCAAAATCCCAAAGCATAATATGGGAATTTTCCTAACAGACCAATAGATGATGAGTATCCCGTTTCTCTTCTTAGAATCCGCCTTTCAGATTGGACAGGCTGGCGGCTGCTGCAAGCGTTGGGTAGTTCTCAAGGCCCCCACTTAACTTCAACCACGCCTAGCTACTCTAAACTCTAAGCCCTAAAGCCTCAACCCGAAACCGTCAACCCTAAACCCTACACGGCGTTAAGGCAAACCAGTCTCCAGGAAGTTGACCACCCCAAGGCTTTCCGCGATAGACATGGCCTGGGCCACCGTGGAATGAAGATGGAAATTCAGGGTTGTAAGGGTGGCCAGGGATGTCGGGTTTAGGATTTAGGTTGGGGATTGAGGGTTCGGGTTTCAGGGCTTAGGGTTGAGGGTTTAGGGTTGAGGGTTTAGGATGCAGGGTTTAGGGTTGAGGATTTAAGCTTGAGGGTTCAGGGTTTAGGGTTTGGGATGTAGAGTTTAGGGTGTATTGTAGCTAGGAAACCTGTTTTGGCTAGAGATACGGTAGATGGAGGGAATTTTGCACCACACCCTCATGCTCCTGTAGTTCCGGTTCTAGGGCGGCGCGTAGTATATGTAGAATGATCTGGGCATGCAATTGGTCCCACCTACCAGCGTTGTCACCAGGTTCATTGTGGTTTACCATGTAGACTCTCAGGGTGTTTTGAAGTCTTACGAATTTATCGGCGCAGTTTTCAAGTGCGGTCATTCTTAGAAATCTTCTTTCTGTGGGGGGTCCGACATGATGGGCTGTTTTGGCAAGCACCCAGACCCGCACTTTTCACACAGGCCGAGCCTAATATTTTTTTCTGGCATACTATGAAGAAAGACAGAAAAACGAGTGCCATCTATCAAAAGGCTCTTGCAGGGGTTTTTAATTTCGGGTAGGACACGTTGGCTCTGGCTACCTGGGTTTTTCAGGAAACCTGGCCAACTGCAGGTGCCTTCGTCTAACATGGAGACAGGTGTTCCTTTCAAGAGGGGCTCGATGGGGCTTCCATGCTATCCTCTAGGAGGGGTGAGCTGTGCCATGTAATTGTTCAGGGACGCCTCCCCCCCCCAGATACTGTTTGTAATCCCGAAATCTCCTTGAACCCCTACTTTGAGAAACTCCCATCGTGCGCAGTGCATAGTAGGGAATGAAAGGACTGTATCCCGAAAAAGTCATTATGACACAGTCCCAACATCCCATTTCGCTATTTGCTACTAGCACGAGATTTTTGGCTGTATGGCTGATTACTTGGAATCCGGAAGATCAAAATGATACGGAATGCAAAGCTTTGGACCCTTTACTTACCCACCCACGCAAATACATGACTCCCAGCTAAACCTTCCAATCAATTTCAGCAAAATACCGAACTCCGAGCGCGGATGACAATTTGGAGTTTAGGGCTTGTGGTTTGGGTGTTGGGTTTATGCAGGCACCTTCAGAGGGTCATGGTCATGGCTTGAGGTTTTGTCACAGAATCTGATACTACAGGGGGCCTGAAGAATTACCAATATCATTTTTTGAGGTCCATTTGAGGTACCATAGACCATAATCATATAAGGAATATGGAACCATAATATTGGTAATTATTTAGGCCCCTATATTACGCCAGAAATGTGACTTTCGTTATTGCTGCAGAGATGCAAGATTGCTGTCTTCTCTGTTTTATAGTTGCACCGTTGCTCTCAGAAAGGTTTCCCCCCCTTGCCTCGATTGTGGCCCTTGTGTCAAGTTTGCTAGTCAAGGAAACCCCTAATCCCTATAATGTAAGCGAAATCCCTGATCCCTACACTGCTGCTGAACACAAGAAAGGGGAACCCCGAAAACTCTGACCTTGAACCGCAAATCCTTAAATACGAGATAAAAGACAACACTCGGAATCCCAAGACCTACATCCTGAACCCGACGCCCAGTAGCAGTCTATATAATAGGGGAAATACTAAGGTCTGTATTGATTCATATTTCAAATATCATCCAGCCGTTGTTGAATAGAAACAATATCCAACCTACATCCGAAATCTCTAAACCCTAAATCTGACGCCCTAAGCCCTACATTCCAAATTACAATACACATCCCACAGAATCTTGAAGCCGCACCTCTTCTCCCAGTTCTGCAGCGATTTGCTGGCGAAGATCTTCCTCAACAAGTCACCACCAACGACGGTAGTGGTAATACAATGGTATAAAGGGAGGTACATAGGCAGGTATATAGAGATGCATACCAGCGGGGTTTTCAAGAATGCAGATGAAAATGTTCGTGAGCATGCCCAGTAGACTCCTTCACCTAAAGCCGCTTACCTGGAGCCCACAAGCCTAACACCTAAGTCCTTAACGTTGAACCTTTTACTGGATATTGACCAACAAATCCGTAGTCCAGTGTTCAGAGATTCAATGCTACACCCCAAGCGAGCATTGTGGGAACTTACACAGCACCTAAAATTGCAATCCGCTTGTGACTTGCCCAGCAAGGGGTTGTCTAAGACCTGAAAAGCCATACAGCCCACACACCTTCAACCCGGAGCCCCCAACCCTAAGTCATAACCCTGAACCCGCAACCCCATGTACACCCTAGACTCTGAGTCATAATGAAAACTCCAAAGCTCTGCACCCTCCCAGACTCAAACTGATCACCCTAAACGCCGAAACCCTACACTCTGCAGCAACACCTGTAGACACTTTGCAATTTCCTGTAAGACCCCAAAGTCCAGCACCCTGAAACCACACCCCAACACCTTCAACTCTTAACCCTATAGCCCCAAACTCTACGTTGTAAATCTTGCCTCTGACAGCTCTGGCGTCGGATCGATGCCGTCGTCGCTGTCCGCTTCGAAGTCAGGCGCCTTGGGCATCAACACTTCAATTTTGGGTTTAAGGTCAGAGGTTAGGGTCCAACTCGGGGTCCCAAGGGGACGGAGGGTGTTGGTTCTTATCAAGCAGTCATTTGGAGCAACTTTGCTTTGGGGTTTCGTGTGGGGTGTAGAGTTCAAGGTGGAAAGCTGAGAGAAGGTGTTGGTGTAGTGACGGGAATGGTGATGGGTGATGGTGTTTGCGTCGCTATAGCCTCTGTTCCTCTTGCCATCGCGCTCAGTATTGCTTTTCTTCTCTCTAGTGGCACTATGCCGCGCCCAGGGTCTCAGTCAGTGTATAGTCTCTGAATACAGGGAATGCCAAAGGCATAGCATCTGGTGATAGCGCACGCTTTAGCGAAGCCCTTCTTTGGGAGGTTTCCTCTACACCAGGGCGCATGATTCGTGGGCTGTGTGTTGGGGGAAATAGATTTGATGGCCTAGGTCTTACGAGAAAAGACTTGGGTTTATCTGCAGGCCTGTGGCTCAGTATCTGGGATCCGCCACAACCGAGCAATATTGCAGGCCCCAACACAAGAAGGGCCAAACAAATGCTTACTTTGGAACCGGGCATGTCATCTCTAAGGCACATGCGCCCTGTCCTGGACTCGCCTAAGCTCAGCTGCCAAGCCTTGCAAGCCAGTTCCAGCAAAGTAGTTTGAGGAAGCTACGCTCGAAGCAATCCCCAAACCTAAGCCGTAAGCCAAGGCACATACGAGATGTCGCTTCCACTGGCTTCCTCGAAGTCATCGCCGTAGTCACTTTCATCTTCCTGGCCAGGCCATAAAGGAGGTATAGTGATGACCGTAGCAATAAGCAGGGATCTCTAGGGGAAAACAGGGGTAGAAAGCACTGTGCAGGAAAAAGGCATGTGTAGACATACAGCACCTACATTGCATTGGGGGGGGGGGGAGGGTTGATCAAATTGTGGTTTATGGTTCATCCCAGTGCAGGAGAACACAAAGCTGCTCGTGAAGAAGTTTCGAGGGTTTGCAGCGAAGCGCTAAGGATTTCTCTGAGGAAATGGGCTGTGTCTGGTTCTATGACTATGGTCACCTGCTCGTGACTTCAAACTCTAGACTAGTTATGTGTCCTGTGTGGGTCTGAGGTTTGAGGCCATCAGCTCTCAGCCTTAATTACCCTCTCCCTAAACCTGAAACCTGGAGAAATTTAGTATGATTCTAGTGTTTAGCATTTACAGACTCAGCTTGGACTCATAGGATTGTATGTCAGCCCGATCTTGGCGACTGTTAGCGCAGGGCGACCCCTGAAGATCGCTTGTCAAGCGATGTCATGTGCTGTAGACTTTATCGTTCAGGGATTCAACGGTTTGGGTTGGGGCTTCAGGACTTTTGATTTCAAAGGCGGGGTGCTGGCTGGACACATTCTCTTGCTTCAACAGCAGACTGAGGCGGAACAGAATCATTGCAAATCAGTACGTCCCACGAAGACATGCCATAAAAGATGCAAGGCCGATTCATAGCAAAGAGTGGTTTTACGTTTGTAGGTAGTGGCTCGATGGAGACTACCTACCTGGTTCGGATGCTAAAGGTGCATTCAAACGTTCCCGGACAAGTCGCTTCTGAGCCTTTCTACCCTAAAGCTATGCCGGGCTTCGCCTCAGCAATGTGAGGAAACCACATGGTTCACTTCATGTCCCTCTTGCTGTAACTTAGCGAACATTCCTTGATAGCAACCTTTACATCGGACGCAAAGTAACCGTTCTGACATCCTCCGGCCGCTTGGTCCCTGCTGCCCTCCAAGCCTCGAAGTCATCAGCGTACTCCTCCTGCATACTTGGGCTTAGGGGTTTAAAGTCGAAGGTGTGGCATTCAGATGGAGTACCATTCAAAGCGGCCCAATGACCATGTGAATGAATGTATATACATAGAGATGTATACACATATTATACATATATGCACAACTGTATGCCCGCTGCCCAAGGTGCAAGTGACATCTACAGAGTCGACAAGATTTCAGTTCAACAAGTTGTGGGGGTTTCAGCAGTGTGCAAAAGTCAAGCTGGGTCTTGCTGTTGATTCAAGCTCCCAAGCAACGCTTTGCACAGAAAGAAGAATCAAGACCGCTTCATAGAATTTGTCTTGAGACAAAATGAGCTCCCTATCGAGCCCTGTAGATAGCCTATAATACTTTCCATGATTCCCGAACATCGCCAAATTGGCTAAGTAGACTTCACTGAAGGTCAACCGCGTGGTGCCATATGTCAGGCAGCAGCTGCCGAAGCATGGCGGGGTAGTTCATGGGCCTCTAAGAAGGATGTGAGTAATAACTAACTGCCCAGGAGGGAGAGGGGGAGCTGTCTGGGAAATGAATATCATCTGAGCCGTTTAAGCTGCAAGTTGCTCTACGGCTATGGGAGCATGAGAAGACAACCATGTGACCCATTCGGAATAAGAGTAATGACCGAACCTGCCACAGCCTTCGATTCACATGCCCCCTCCCAGCACCCGAAACCCTCAAACCCTCAGACCACCGACAGAGCACCGGGGTGGCCAGGCTTACCAGGTGCTGCATTTGGGATTAAGGCTTTCTTGCAAAGAACATAGAAACTAGTGTGTGTCCGGTGATTTTGTACCGGCTACTACAGGGATCCGTTCCTCCATTCTGTACTAGCAATTTGGTGAAGGAACGCCATGCGGAGGTTTCGCAACACGAAGGGTCCATCTTGGGGAGTGGTCATAAGATGGACGATAACGCTGCGGGGCATTTAACGGCTACCACATGTTCTGGAAATCGGTGCGAACATTACCAGATATCTCGGAAAGAGTTCTCACTCGCACCTGACTCTTCAAAGTTGGGGCTGATCTAGCCTACAAGTTGCTTCCTGAAGTCCGACCTGACCCCAAACACTGAACCATAAAACCTAAATCCTGAACCTCCAGCCCTCTTACAGTATGGCATGCCAGGGCGGTGTGTATTTACACGGTCTAGAAGTCAACCTGCAACCTATTTACCGCCTAAAGCCAAGACCCTAAATCCCAAACCCCAACACCCCAATCCTAAATGGCAAACTCTACATTCGAAATCTCAAACTCCAAATCCGAAATCCTAAGTTGCAAATCCTAATTCACAAACCCCAAACGCCAAAAAGCCAATCGCACTCCTGGCAATGGGACGGCATGGTTCGTCTCAGTCGCTCTACGAGGCCGCTGGACGAGTCGCCAGTTGGCTGGCACCAAGGGAATGTACAAGAGTCAAGAATCAGAGTAAGTTTTGTCGTATATTCTAATGTGAGCTATAGTCTAAACTCTTAATAACCCCCAAGAGTAGCCCCCTACATAATCCCCCATATAACCCCCATTAAGGAGTTTAGACTGTGGCTCATGTAATTCTGTAAGGATTGTTCAGGGAGAATGCGGGAAACTGTGCAAGGCTTCGCCTTAAAGGTTGGGATGTTTGGTTTCCCTGTATGGATTAGGGTTGCTTGAATTTTGTGAAAGGTTATGAGTGCAGTGAAAATGACATATAGTGGGCTGGGGTGCTTGGTTCACATAGATGTTTTGCATCCGACCGGGCCCTTGAACTCTTCAAGAGCGTTTGCGGTCCCTATGCCCTACTGAACATCCTATTACCCCACAAGCTTGCGGGCGCAGTGTCTTAAAGTTCTGGCACTGAGGGGCCTCAAAAGGTATAGCCTGTACGCAGGGTTCCTTACAAAAGCCACATCCAAATTCATAACCTTGAACCCTAAACACCAGACATGTTAAACCCTACAGTCTCAATCCTAAGCCTCACCTCCTAAACCCTGAGCCCCAAACCCCAAACCCCAAACCCTCTAAACCCTCTAAACCCTAAACCCTAAACCCTCTAGACCTTCTAGACCCTCTAAACCCTAAACCCTCTAAACCATAAACCCTAAACCAAACCCCAAAACTGTGCCGGCGCTACGGGCTCCCTGCGGAGACCGTGCTGCGCTGCCACTGCCGCCGCAGCTTCCGCCAGAGGTTCGGACTGGAGCGCCTCCATGAAGTCATTACTGTTGCTCTATAGGGATATATAATAATAGTAAGATAATATATAGGGGTTGAAAATGGAAACTACTATTTAGGGTTTAGGCTTTGGGGCTTAAAGGGATTTATGGTTTAGGATGGTATATAGGGGTTATAGGGGTTATTATATAGGGATAATGGAAAATGAAATGGAAACTACTATTTAGGGATAATGTCTCCCTTACGTAGATATAGTATATAGGGATAATGGGTATAATGGGATAATGGAAAATAAAATGGAACCTACCATATTATAATAGGGTATATATATATATATTGGGGTCAGATAGGGATAATGGAAAATAAAATGGAAACTACTACATTATAGTAGGGACTCTATTGGGGCTATATGGGGGTTATGTAGGGATAATGGGTATAATCGGATAATGGAAAAGAAAATGGAAACTACAATATTATTTCAGGGTTATATAGGGGATATATAATAGGGATAATGAAAAAGAAAATGGAAACTGCTATTTAGGGTTTAGGCTTTGGGGCTTAAAGGGATTTATGGTTTAGGATTAGAGTCCCCCTTAAGTAGATAGTATATAGGGGTTACGGGGGTTATATAGGGATAATGGAAAACAAAATGGAAACTACTATTTAGGGTTTAGGGGTTTTGGGGTGTAGTTTACTATTACTATTACTGGGTTAGAAAACCATTTCTAGTTTCATGAGGCTAGGGCAAGGATTTGGGGTTTGGGGTTTTCGGACTGAATTGGTAAAGATTCGATTTTTTTTGGGTTTCTAGGTTTGGGTTCGGTGCAATCTAGGACTTCAGGGTTTTAGCGCTTTTGGGGGCTGGGAGGAGGCCGGTTGGGTATGATTGTTCATGGCCGAGGGTTTACGTGTGGGAGGCTGATGGTTAGTGTTTAGGGTTCGAGGTGTTTAGGGTTTAGGGGCTGGGTGATGATCATTGCTATTGCGATCATTGCTCTTGCTATGGGAGCAACCACAACATTGGCAGGACGCAGTTGCTGCGAGTACGGGCAATGTTCGTGTTTTTTGTGTTTGGGGTCTCAGGGTGTAGGATGCAACAGTGACTGCTGATGGGGTTCAGAATTGTATTGACGCTGACAAATTTGAGATCGATGTTGGTGCAGGCACATCAGCAGAAATGCGCTCAATCCGAATCACGAAATCCTACACTGCTGCAATCTTATTCCCTGGCTCCCCTAAACCCTAAATCTTATTCCCTGGCTCTTCCTTTGCTGCTGTTTCACCTGCCTCATCCAGCGTGGCTCGAAGCAAAGCCTCCTGTCAACAATTTAGCTGACAATTCGGGAAGTCAGAAGTCGACCGTGGAAGATACCGAATATCCAAATGCTCGTTGCAAGTTGGCTTCGCAACATTAGAGATAGGATTGAAATCTATAGCCCAAATATACACTCACCAATACTCGAAAGGAAGCCTGTACTATACACCCACCAAAGGCGGAACTAAATTGTCAAGCTTCCACCCAAGGTGGATGTAGGTCGAGAGATCAAAGATCGGCTTTCGGGATTTAGATCGGGGAATGGTGGCGGAAGAGGTGAGCAGGTCGCGCGTCTTTTGTGAAGTGTTGAAGTCTAGGGATGCCATGCAACATCGCCCGCAGGGCTATACTTGGAGGTAGCATGACAACTCCAATAAACCACACACAAAACAGATCTAGTCAAACTAGTCAGGAGGAAGAAGGGTTTACCCTCCGCCAAACTAGTGTGGAACCGAGTTTCAATGCTTGTTTGGGGAGGCTAGGGCCCCGATACCCTCAACTTCAAACCGCTTTGTGGTCTTCGTTCCAGTCTTTCCCAGGATTCGTTCGCTAGTGGCAACTCCTTGCTTCTGGACAACCATCACACAAACAGAGTTCATGTACACAGCATGCCTGCCTGGTTCAATTGCAACTTCATGGCTCCTGAAGCCCGATATCTCCCTGGTTGCTTGGGTGAACCATCTAGGTAGGTTCTGCCAGCACATGCCCAGGTGCGACCTAGATAATTGCATGTCTGGAACTTCTATATGTAAAGTATCGTCTGGGTGGCTGATTCCCGGGGCTGACACCCAACTCCCGAAAGGCTACACTTGCTTGGTGTAAGTAGGGCATTCTTAACATCGGCCACGTGTGCAAGGAAGTCCGACAATGCAACCGTAAAGCTTCTGCATCTCTCGCCCAAAAAACATCTCCCCGGGTTTAGGGTTCTGTGTTCGGGGAGTTAGGTTACCTTAAACCCTAAACCCTCAATTCATATGAGGGCTTCTTAAGAGTGCGGGAAAGTAGGGAACCAAGGCTTCTCCTGAATGAGTCAGATCCACTTCCCTGAATAACACTACCCCTTAAAGCTGATTGTAATGCACATTTTCATGTTTATGTAGAGGCTGGGGCTCTATTTAAACAGATAATCCTGAAGAAGTTTCGAAGCAAGCCAGGCCTTTTTCAGGAGCCGGTCCAACAAGGCGCCAAGTGATGCGGAAAAGCAAGGGTCCTACACTGTTGAGGCTTAGTTTGGGTTTAGGATAAGCCATTCAATGGCTTCGGCCCTCAGCCTTAAAGCACGCTCCTGTTGCTACCTAGAATCGCCGCAAGCAGCATCCGCCCTGGGAATGCTTAAGTCTGGCAGCGCTGAAGGAACTTAAAGGTGCTTGTAGGAGTAAAGCTCAACGACAACGGGCGCTTACCTGATTCATAATGCAGAGGCCTGAAGAAACATAAAAGGCTTTACAGTATGCTATGCTCTATGTATACAGCACTTTCTACATTGCCATGGCCTTGTGTGGTACATGTGGCCTCAGCATTTTCGCCCTTGAGCCTAAACCCCAATAAACCTGCTAAGGACCCATTCTTGCTATTGCAAAACATGATTTTGCAACCCAAAAGGAACTCTAAACGAAACCGCAATTTCCCATGAAGGCTGGGCCTCCTTCCACTGACAGAAGTTTCTCAAGCCTAACAATACAAAACACTTTGCAGAATACCAAATGCACGTTTGCGGCACCATTCATGATCAGGGCTGGCTTGATCTCGAAACCATAATTTGAGCCCAGAACCCCAACAAACTTTCAACAGCTTCATGCACCATCCTCAACAGTATCTCATGGGTTCCAAGTCAGAGCTCCTGAAGCTTAAGCCCATCCCCATCCTACCGGGCCCTCCCTGTGGTGTCCAGTGGAGCAGGACTTGCGCTCACGATCCGAAAAGCAACCTTTCCCACTGCCAGTTTTTGCTGAGATTGAAGACTTAGGGTTTAGGGTTTGGGGAAGTCTGTGAAAATTTATAATTTCATTGCAGGTGTTCCAGGCTTGTTTGAAGAAGGCCCCAGAAGGGGTTCTAGCAGGAGTCTTGTAAAGTGAGCTCCTTGTAACACTAAGTGCAATGCAGCGCTTGATAGGACAATACATGGTGGCCTTACTCTGCAGAAGGCTTCCTATACGGACGCCTTACTACGTCTCTAAGAATTTAACGACCTGCCGTACATTCACCCTACGGATAGGATCCCCCTCTCCGCTGGTACGAGCTTGAAGCCCAAGGCAAACATGCCTTTTTACTAATTTTGGGGTATTGAGCTTTAGGCCTAAACCCTAGGCCTCAAAACCTTAAGCCCTGAACTGAGTCAGGGTCCAGGGCAGAAACGCAGAAAGAAAAAATGGCCCAGGGACCCCAAAAAGCTAGACGGATTACTAGAAGAGCATGGGGCACCCTTTAGGATTCTACAGGGACAATTTTACGAACTGCCCACGCCCACCTGGCAAATGTTCGCGCCCTTGAAAGGCGGCACTAGCTGCGCCATCTCGTAGAGCGTTATGCCAAAACTCCAAACGTCTGAAGCGTAGGCGTACCTTAGCCGTAGAGTCCAGCTCTTAGGGACTTTGGGGTTGTGTCCTTGCTTGCCAACATGTCCTTCCTGATGCAGCCTTGCCGGCTCTCTACTTCTGTCATACACAATGTTTTTAACAATGGGGAAGAGGTTCTTAACCTTACCCAGCCCCGATGAGAGGAGAGGACTTTGGAAATGGCCAACCATGGTAAACCATACATCTCATAAATCATGCACGCCTCAGGGGCGCTACTCCAATCAAAAAACCAATAACAATTCATATTCGAAGGTAACAGCAACCAACCAGTTCTTTTCTCTTGGGCCATTTTCAGATACCACCCTATTGTTGTCTCCAAGTGGCGGCTCCTGATTGACCATCTCAGGGCTCAGATACAACGGGGAGCCACAGCAGGTTTTTGCCAAGTGATGCCTCGTTTCAAGAACTTTTCGGACTTTTGGGTCATGTGTAACCCCTATAATATAATCTCTATATTTAACCCCTATCTTTTAACCCCTATATTATAGCCCCGATATTATAATATGTGGAGATCAGGGCTTTCAGCCGAATTCGCCCGGGCTGAAGATGTGGAGGTTGGGTCATGGCTACGTAGTGATGGAAGGACTTTTACCATCACCACGTAACGTTGTGAGCCACTGGTTGCCATGCCAAGGGGTAAGGTTGGAGAGACCTTTGGTGATGTAGATCTTTTGAGTATGGCCGGTTGTAAAAGAACCAAAAGGAAGATGGACCCTTTTGAGGGGTATCAGTGACCCTACCGCTGACAGTTGTCCAGCATCCTTCCAGCCTAAACCCAAAACCCACGGAAAGTAACGCCATCCCCATCAGAATACGAGAATGACCCTCGCCGCATCACTATATCGATAATGCTGATTACCCGTGTTATGCCACTGCATGATGGGGGAACTTCAGCGTTAGGGGATGGGGAGGTGTGTTACTGGAGCAAGATGATGTGAATCGTGCTCCCAGATTGGATTTGGAGTCCCTGAATCCCTGCTAGCTGCTAGCCTTAGAGGTCATCGTTGACACTTGAAGCCAAAGCTGAAATAGTCCCTGCAAAACACTGAGAGCATCATGTAATGCCTTCAGACGACAGCAATTTCTTTCCAGAATTTTGAATTTTCACGCCCGAAGCCTCAGCCCAAAATTCGACATCCAGATCCCTTCCTCCCCTAATTTGCCTGCATGTGCTCTGCCATCCCCCCAACAATTAGTTCCAGCTCTTTACTGCAGATTTGTGGTACCTACAACCTAAAGCGCTATTTCAGAACATCCCGAGTAGTCCAGCGCATGTCCTACTCAATTGAGATCTCCATGGGGATGAGCCGGGTCGCTCGTCTAGGTCGCATGAGATTCCGAAATCGCCCAGGAGGAGAGTGCCGCCTTGGAAAGAGCCAGGCATCTGGAAATTACTATAATATATTCTATTTAGCTGATGTAGAAGTTGATATTACTTATTATGAGTTTAGAGTTTAGGGTGTAGCGTTTAGGCTCTAATTAAGGCTGAGGGTTTGTCAACACCCCCCCCATCCCGAAAAATTAATGTGCATGCAAGCCTGTATATTTGGGCTCTGATGAGCTTTGTTTATGTTGGGGGGTGCGGGGCGGCATGTTGAATGCGTATTGGGCGGAAAGGCCTAGGAATAAGGGACAATCACATGGAACATCGATGGGACTATGACATGGCCAGTGGGATTCCATTAGGGTCAGAGGCCTACGTACTTCCCAGGGAGGCTTCTGGGTTGTCCGTGTAGCCATTTGAGAGCTGTATGCTATGAAGGACGTAAGTCCCAATCTGCAGCGAAACGAACAAGATCTGGGGCTTCAAAACATTGGCGGGCCCAAGGACAATCCCATGTGCCTTGCTGGGGGTGAGGAGCTAGATGGGAAGGTCAACTACGATTTCCCTGTGTACTGGAGTTTTGTTCCTGATCCTGGGTGTCTAGTATCTAGGGCTTTTGCAAGCTTAGGCTTCTGGTTTATTCTGTATTGCCGAGGGTAGCCACTGGACAGGTAGGCTTCATAGGACTGGTCTTCATGATCATGGGGATCCATGCTCATAAGGCCAAAGAAGACACAGCTCTCAATAGCTGTGAGGTCCTCGAGTCAGAAACTCGTCGAAACAGCCCTAAACCCTTTACGCGAACACTAGAGTGTGATGGTAATCCTCACCTGTTCCTTTCAGGGGTTTAGGGTCTAGGGTCTCAGCGGCGCAGAGGGTTATGGACAGAGGAGGGGGGTTCCACGCCACCAAAGACTGAATGAAGACCAAGCAAAACACACCCAAGCATCCCGTGGAGTATCCCTTGATCAGCAAAAACTTCTACTTCCTGAGCCTCGCGCCAGGACATCTGAAGAAGCAGTTCTCAGGCTTTACATCTCGGTGGAGAATGCCTGCAAGAGGAAAAAAGGCAGAATTCAGGATTTTTGCATTTGAGGGTGCAGCATGGGTGACAAAAAAATAACACAACCATCCTGCACAAAGGCTAAAATACCAAAGGGCACATGATGGACCTTCTTGGGTATCTCCACCCCCAGCTCTACCCTCCCCCGAAGAAAGATGGAACCAACAAAGCAGTCGTTACAAAGACGACTGTGGCTTTTCAGTATCCGGGGTTGTCTTTAGTGAGTGGGCAAATGACATTGAAATGCGTCGGGTCTACACATGCCATCCCAACCAAATTGACATCCGAAAGCTTTAAAAAGAGCATCAGCTAATTTGACATTTTGAACCCAATCTACGTTTTGAAGCAAGGTCCTTCTTTTGGTGACAACTGGGCAAACTTCACATATTTTTCGGCAAGTTTGCGCATGTCCTTGCCCAAGTTTGAGGTTTCGGAGCCAAGTTTGAGCTTGTGGTGCCACTCTGGGTTTCGAAGCCTATGCTGCGGGACCGATTTGGATTTCGAGCAACTAATTATTATCGACGACTTCGGGCTTTTGGAAACTCTGTCTGTGCGGCGGGGTAATGGTGGAAACCACAAAGCAAAAATATTGAGTTTTTCAAATCACGATTGCAAGGGCCAGGTTGACAAAGAGTAATTGGTCTAAACCGATCATAACCTCAGACATGAACGCTACGCAAAGCATTATGCGGCCCTAAGCCCTAAGCCCCCAGCCCCAAACCCCTACTACAGGGGCCTAAATAATTACCAACATATTTTTGAGGTCTATTTGAGGTACCTTATATTATAATTATACAAGGAATATGGAACCATAATATAGGTAATTTTTTAGGCCCCTATATTAAACCGGAAGCTGCACATCCATCCCCAAAGTGTCCTCTGGAGTGACAATGCTTGAGGGCGAGGGCTATCTGTGCTGCCCACCTGAGGTTTTCGCAAACTTCCTATATATTGATATATACAACATGATATACTATAATACCCTATACAACGACCCCATAATATAAGGATAATGGAAAGAACATGGAAACTACTACAATATAATGGGGTATAAATATTTAGGGTTAGGACAGCAGTCATATCTGGTGGTTATGCAGGGGTTGTGGGGTCCCTCTTAAGGATTGAATATGGATTGTTGTGAGAAACTCCATGTAGGATTCTTTAGACCTCATTACTGTAAAGAATGTCATATATATATATATAATATACAAATCTTGCGAGGATAGAGGATCTAGGGGTTTAGGGTTCCATTAGATTCAGCGTGTCCAGCGTGAGTGTCCCTGGTACAAGCGCTTCCAACTTCTGAACCATATTTGCCCTTTTTAACATGCGTGAAGTGCTTAGGATCCTAGTATGTAAGCGGACTCCAACTCCCCGAAATGCGCTTCTAATGGATCTCTCGGGGATTAGTGGAATGCGAATGGAGGATAGGTTCAACACATGAGTAGCGGCTTGGGAGGAATGTTCTGTGGTAATATTGGAGGTTAGCTGATGACGCATGCTGACTTCAGACTCCATGCCCGCATGGGGGAAAACATATCCTAAGGAGCTTGCTATCTGACTTCCAGTTTTAGATCTCGCTCTCCACGGTAAAGCCATGCAGTTAGGAACCGACGTCAACCCTACCCTGAACTTCCAAGCGAAGAGCATCAAGGCATGATCCACAACCCTCAAAACTGGTAAGCACCCCAACCACCTTCTATTCGGCTTGAGAGACAAAGGCCTTAGTAAAGGGGCTTTGAGTGGGGGTTCAGGGGCTCAGAGGTGTTGGGGTTTCGGACGTGGTTTGGCCTCCTCGGACATGTGCAGAGACATTTGCAGAGACACTGCTCATTTCGTATTCGCAGTAGCGCTTCATGTTACCATGTAAGGACCCTCGAAAACCTTTTGGGTCTGCTGGAATTCCTGGTAAAAAAGTTGATTTGCACTTTCCATGTGATAAAAGGATCCAAGGCGTGCTAGTTCTTGTTTTGACCTACCCCTTCCCGGAAACATCATGAACATCTTCATGACCTCTTCCCATGTCGTTGATTCATCGAAGGTCCCCATTATTCAGGGTACTTAACTTGAAGGGGATCCTCTAAAACCATGTATGACAAAGCTATGAAGAAAGCCCCGAACTGCAGCACAAACGCCGAAGTAGCTGGTCTTCAGCGAACTTCTGCCCCTGGCAAGCTCACCAAGGTTCTCCCGGTGAAGATCCAAGGTCTGAGGGTTTCCAAGCTGAATGGTAATTTCCCTAAATGAGGGGACCCCAACATAGACCCCAAATACGATAATCCTTATTATAAGGACCCCCAAAAAGGTAAAAAGGTACCCCTGATTTTGGGAACCCCCAAATAAGAGAGAAGCTGCCGGAACCCTTTGAATAAAACTTTGCGCAGGTTGGAGAGCCTGAAAAAGTCTCTTTTACCTGCTCACTACCGATTGGCTGGTATGATGACTTGTTATAACCGGAAGAACTACGATTGGGAGATGTGAGGCTGGAGGTTGCGAAGAGGTGATTACACGGGCTTGGTCGCAAGTGTTCAGCAATTGAAAACGGCTGGAAATAGGATGTACAATATGATAACCCCACGATCCCTCGCTTCATGTACACCCCCCAAATACTCCCCAAGACATGAGTGTCGACTCCATTGTTTGTCAAAACCTCAACAAATGAGCCCACTAGCCCGACCTCAAACTCGTCGCGTTGCTGCAGGATCTGGCCCCTGAGGTCACCACCGGAGCAGTACCTTGGAATCTCCACAAAGAAAGCAACTTGGGTTGAGGGGAAGGAGGAGGAGTGGCGATATAACAAGTCCCCAATACTATACGTGCAGGAATACCGTACCCTCAATCAGTTAAAGGCCATGAACACTACGCAACTTAGAGCCATGAAGTGCGAGCAGGACACTCCATGATCAGACAAAGCACGGTGCCTCCACGACACAGCAGCACCTCGTAGGGATTGGTTGTTTGGCTTCAGGCCTTGAAGGCTGAAAGTCCAGAGCTTTGAGGCTTCAGGGCTGCGAGTTTGAAGGTTTGCTTTGTTGGGGTTTTAGGTTTAGGTCTGAGAGCAGTTCGTGGCATGCGCTCTTTCTAAATGCCCACCCCAGGCTAGCCTAGGTTGTGCCTGAAAGAGACTCACAGGTCTGGTTTCCCTGAACGTTTTGCCGAGGCTGTCGGCATAATATAAGCATCTGATGTACAAACCTTACTACATTGAGTATATCATCCCCGGTAGTAACTGTAGGGGGTGGCGGGTCCTGAGGAGATGAAATAACTGGCCCTCAAACTTGTGTTTGGTGCCAATATTTGGCAGTGATGTCCGGGTGTGCGACCCTTCTATACCCCCGCTCAACAAACATGACCTCAATACGACCCCCACAAAATTGGACCCAGAACTTTCAAGAACTTGTTCCCTGAGGGGCTGCTGAACCCACCCCAACTCGACTTAGAAGGCCCGGGCCTCGTGAAACTGCGTGATGAACGGACCTCTGCAGTTTGAGGTGGAGCTTGAAGCTTGGGAGGGTGTATTCCATTCGACTGAAGCCTCAAACTGACATTGAAGGATTAGGGCTTCTATTCAACCAATAACCATTTGGGCTCTTGGCTTAGGCTTTAAGCCCTAGGCCTTACCCTCCCAAAAACTTGATGCGGTCTGCACAGCTTAGATTTAGAGGGCAAGACAACGATTGGACATTCATGAACATGCGTCACTTCTTCTAAGTCTACTGCCGTTGCGATACCTTGAGCTACTACTTTAAAGACCACCTTGGATCAAATTTCAGCACATGAATACCCAAGAAACGGAGTTTTCTCAAAAGAGGGATAACTTCAGGATACCTCAGCAACACTAGGACACATGTAATTCTCCAAAGATGTAAGGGCCACCCTGCCTTTCAGGTTTTTGTCAAGAGGGTCTTGAGAAACTTGAAGCCCTAAACTACGCTTTTGACAAGCCTACTCTAAAGCCTCAAATCCCCCACCTACTGCTTTCCTAAAACCACAAGACCCAAACCCTAAACACTGCCAGCCGCGTGGCAATTTCGAGAGATCTTGCGCATCAGCTGTGCCTCTCGAAAGGCTCCTTCCCGCTGGGCCTTCCGGGGTGGCCCTAAACCAGCTCTGGGAGTCTCGGATCTAGGGTGGAAATAGGAAGGGCACATTATGCTATAACTAGATTGGATTGTGGGGAAGAATCCGTGTAATGACTCGAGCTCCAGCATTGGAGTTGTATTGGAGTTGTGTCGAGGTCCGAGCTTCTGGGCAGCGGCACGGAACTGTGAGGGGCGTTCAGGGGCTGCAAAGGGCCCTCAGAGGTTCTATCCAATTTTTGCTTTGTTCTGTTTTGTCGTCGGTTTTGGTAGGTTATCAGAATGTTGGGCCTGTCAAGGTCGTGGGATGTGCTTCTGAATGGTTGCTTTGTTCTCGCTGTCGTCGGGGCGAAAGCCCTACTTGCCAACAACTTGCCATTTTTAAGCCATGCCCCCCCCCCCCCAACAATACCACCCGTGAGCCGCTCCAACGGTCAACACGAAAGGCCTGCATGAACCTAAGTATCTTGTACCTGAGGTGACATTGGCAATCATGGTATGCAAGTATGCTGGTGTCAGCCACTCTCGAACCCTGTATTCCAAAAACCCTTCCGGCAGATGCAAACTCTGCAATGTCCATGTGGCACCCTAATCCAAGGTCTACTAAAAAAGCGCCCCAGTCATATGGAAATCCATGATAAATTCCATGCGCAGACCCTGTTTGCTAAACCCTGAACCCCGCACACTCAAACCCAACCCAGAAAAAGCCCTGCGCACCTCGCCGACCTCCAGCAAAGGAAGCTTCTTTAGCACCTCACGGACTGGCAGCTAGGATTAGGGTACAATGCATGTTTAGTGTTAAGAGTTCAGAGGAGAATGTAGGCAGCATGCATCGTTTGTGGGGAGTTGGGCAAAATAGAATCCGGCTGTGTAACCCCTTGCACAAACCAGTGCGCAAATGTACATTCAA